ATTTTAGTTTGAATTTTATCTCGGTTGGAACGTGACAAGATATTTGTATGTTAATTTTAGAGGAGAGAAAAAAAGAGAGGGTATATAGACAACAATAATTTCATTAAAATTTTAAAATTTAGATATAAATACCGAATACCGAATATCAAATATCGAATATCGAATACGTATTATTAGTCTAGGATTTTTCCTTTTAAGCATAGTTATTCTTTAAGGGTAGTATGGACTAATGAGACATTGAGATTGTATATGAGAATTGGAACCATAGAAATTTGGACATTTATTACTTGGACCATATTCGCAATTATTTACATAAGCGAATAAATAAAAAATTTGAAGGTGTAAATTCCCGAGAGTTTTCTTAAAATTTGGATTTGTCAGTCAATCTATCAAAGATATGACTATATAGTTATGCTTCAATTACATTAACATCTAATTTAGTAAATTAAGGAAAAGGTATAACTAGCAAACATCTTAATAAAATTTATCAATACGAATGTGCCAAATTACAATTCTAGTATAAAATAAATTTAATTCAAATAATATGGTCTCTAATTATATCTAATTCAAATAACATAATTTAATAATATAATCTAACATCATAAATACGACAGATGTCATGATATTTTGTTTAATTATTTGGGTTTGATAAGCTATAATATAGATCACATTTTCAAGTATTATTTTTATTGAAAAATAGAAATCCATTATATGTATTTTGGAGTGAAACTAATGATGCTTACTATATTTTCTAAAAAAATACATCTACCCTCTAGCTTGTTCCATTGAAAATTTGTCTATTTTCATTTAAGGATACATATGACTAAAATTTTGTAACTAATGAAAACCATTAATTAGGGTGAATTTCACTTTGCGGTGGTAACAAATTACACTTGTAATTCTATTACACAATGCATGTTACATTTATTTAAAAAATAGTATAAAAAACGCATCAGATTTGTGATTATGTATCAGACAATTCTCTCACTTAGTATTATCAAAATGAATATATATGACACATGTAAATAGGTTAATTGTGACTCATTGGTCTAAAGGACTAGATTAATTAAGAGGAAATTGATTCAAATCCCGTGATGAGACTTGATAATTTTTATTAACTTTTGTAAAAGGAGGATAATGAATTTTAACATAATACTGCAGCTGGAAGCATTAAAATGAAAATGACTTGTCGTAACTCTGGCAAGTGCAACTGCCAACGCAGGCTTTTTATTTCAAAAAAACGGTGGGAATTGTCGGCTATTTGATTTGAAATTTGAACCAAAAACAAGGATTCGTTTTTCAAAAGTGTGATTCGTTTATCAACATTTTAATGTAAGTTCGTCCTATACAGGAAATAACAAAATCAGCACAGTAGAAATGTTACTATTATTCACACAAAATCACCTCAAATCGGGCAAATGAACCTCAATTTACAAAGTTTTCTTTACAACATAAGAAAATTGCAATGACCATATAATTAAACACTCCCTCCCTCCTACAAAGAAAAAGACAATAAAATGAAATGAGAAGGAACGAAAGAAAAATGTTCCCAACTGTACAAAGAACTTTAATATACACAGAATTTATGCACCCAGGGCCGTAGAATTGGGGTGATGGCTACTGTTATACTTCAACATGTTCTAAAGCTGATTCTGTTTTCCATTAGGAGGCCTTGAAGATTGCCCAGGGGGTGCAGCAAGTGCGTAGGTTAATCTAGACGATGAATTCTCTATTAGACCAGCAACTCCGGCAGCGGCAGATTGAGCATTTGATGGCAAGAAAAGATCATGCTTCTGATCTTTATAAGCACTCCAAACCTACAATAACACAGCCAAATTAAGAGAATAGATGGAGTTAAAAACTACAATCACAATCTGTATGTTGACCTCCATCATTCCAAACAGCACTAAGAAACACAGAGATTAGTAGTCTAGTCCCTGTGTGTAGGTAAGTATTGTTTTTTCACTTTAGGAAAATCGTGTTGTTTAATTTTCCTAATATCATTCAAAATGTTGTAAATATGTGGTCCCTGTAACAGAGGATTAGTCCCTGTAACACACTGAGTTATTTTCTGTGCATTTGTCATCTCTCTTGATGTGGGTTCTCCAATGTAAGCTAAATGCAAAACTATGGAGTATCTCGAGAAAAACCCTCCTCAAAATAACACAATGACATAAAGCGAGTTATGATAAAATCTTAACAAGTAGATAGTAAATGGTCAGTAGCAGTTTAAGTTCCAATTGAAGTTATTCTTATTCGAAATAAAGTAATTCAAGGGCCAACTTTAAGGATACTACAGTTAAGGGGCTGAATATATGGTTTATTAACTGCACAAAAATAGTAAATAACTAGCTGATTGTGCAGGCACAAAAACCAATTGCACCTGTTACCTTGCACGACTGGCAACACCCCTTTTCAAATATTGAAAAAGGATTCAGGGACATTTATGCAGCATGAAAGATAGAAAGGTAAAGGAAACCCATATTTTAAAAATGCAGGATTTAACTATCCGTCAATAGTTACCTCTGAGACATCCAAAATATCTCGCACTTTAGAACAATGGGCCCCTTCTGTGGCAAACGCATGCAAAACCTGTATGAACAATGGACACATGAAAATAAAAAATTTATATATGTAAAACTGTTGCGTTAGTGGAATATTTTCCGACACACATATTAGTTCTAAATTAGAAAGCTCCTCCTACTTTAAGCCAACTTGTTAAATTATTCAGTTAGTGAAAGGGTAGCTAAACAACGAAACTTAACAAGATCTCATTTCTCAAGAAATATTGGTATTTAGCGATAGGCAAAAATTAAAGGAATACATAAAAAGTTCCAGCAAATATCGAGCAAAACATCTGAAGATGATGGTTCTTTGCTTAGCCTTAAACGACTTTCAAGGATATTCAAGATCAACATGCATATCCCTTTTTCAACCAAATCTCTCTCCAGAATCCTACCTGATTGGCTTCCCCTCTACTCTGATTCATCTCTTCAGCCACGTCCATTATTTCCTCCAAAAGCCTGATCTCATTTTCACTCGTCTAATAATTCTTCTTCTAAATTCTCTCATAAGTCGAAGTTATAGTCCGTCCTTCCGTTAAAATCTTTATTGTTTAACCGAACTCATTTATTGAGAAATCCATTTAATAAATATAATTTCGGCCTAATGAGATTCACATTGTACCAAATGTTTAATGACTATAAAATTTTCTAGAATGAATTAACAATTCCAAAAAAATCAGTTAGAAGATTACTCATTTTCCATGATTTGTTCCAAAAAGGAAAACAAAACTATAAAATATTTCAATTCAGATTCCTATAAATGAATTCAATTGAAATAAATTTAATTCTTCATCCTATTTGCTGGGTAATTCCTTCCAGAAAAATCTTTTACTTTGAGAAGTCATTAGTAGATTGCATATTCAATACCAGAAAAAGATAGAAGCAGTGTCAAGTGATTAAAAACAATAACTACAACACTCAACAACAAAAAGGCATTTAGAACTACATACCTCTATTGCAAGCACCCTGCCAATAGAGGCTTCAGATTCATTCCATTTCATTTGAGAGCAAAGTCCATTCCTTCCGCCAGCTCTCCAATCAAGAAGCCCAAGGAGTACTTCGACAAACCCAACCCTTCATCATAATGCAATGCATACTGATTATAGAAAGCAAATGAAGAACGAAATTCCAACCACACTTCGTACTTCTCTTTTCTCATGCACAAAAATCCTACAACATTTCTGTTTTATCAGATCGAAACTAAAACTACCCTTGCAGTAATTGACGGTCCCTAATCCCACGAGATATTTAACATAAAAAGTGGATCAAAGGGGTCTTGAGTCATTTTTCAACATCATGCCGAAATCAATCCATGAGGTTTTCATCTCAAAGTCTACAGTATATGTAGATCAATAAAATTTTAGTCAATAAAATAAGTTCCCATCAGACTTACTCAACAAAGATAGAGATAAGCAAGAGTCAAAGGTACCTAACCACAGGAACAAGCACAGAAAACAGTACACAGAAAAACATTATGTTAACTACTAGACACATACTGGATCAACCTAGCATTAGAACGTTACATTTGTTGAGTCTTTTTTTTTTTTGTTAAGTACAGTTTTTTAGTTAAATTAGAAACATTACACATCTAGAGGATTCTTTTATGTGTAAAATTATAGTACATACAAGTACAATAGTTACATGATACTGATAGCCCCCGATTTACTATACAAATACTGGGAAAGGAATGGTAAAAGGTAGGGCTCACTGCCATGTGTTAGTTGGAGAAAATTACAGCTGACGGTTAGTTGTAGACAGAAATGCAACCTTAGAGGGAGGGCTGAGAGAAGTGCAGAAGAGAGAATAAAGTATTTAGAAATGTGTGGAGAGATCAGGCAAATTAAAATCTCCCTAGGTGTACTCATTTGAAGTTTGAGCCCCTAATAACATTCTACTTTGAGTCCTATCAAGGTGGTATTAGAGAGTAAATTGTTGTTGATATGGTAACCAACAAGATGGAATCCAAATAGGATGCCGTGGAAGAGAATATAACAAACATTAAGGGTGCTTTTTAGAGGAGTTGAGTGTTAATGTGAGTTGAAGGGAGAAGGAAAACGACCAGTCTGAATTGGCCAGAACTGACCGAGCCAAGGACACAGAAGGGGAAGAAGTACAGGTAAGTAGGAGAGTTGAATCGACACGATAGGAAATGTCTATTTCTCATGGCATTAATTTGAATGATTGGGGTAGGACAATATTTGTGTCAATACTTGTATGAGAGTTAGAAACTGTATAGAGAGTAAGGCAGTCGCATGGTTTGAGTGTAAAGAAAGAAGACGTCCTTTCTGAGTTGGATAGATGGAAGCTATTAAGTAGGGTTCTGTTAGACACAAGAAAGGTCCCTATGCAAGCAAGTCTTGCCTTTGAAAGAAGAAACAGTGAAGGTGCACTGAAGACAATCTGAAATAGTCACATCACATTTACTGAACGCTTGTATGGGTGTTAGGAGTCAACTTTATCAACAGTTTGTCAAGGTTTAAATGTTGCAACCAGGGGGGATTGGGCTCAAAGATGAGGTTGGCCCAATGTATAGAAGATGAGATCCAATCCTTACATGTCGTAAGAGAAGCACCCTTCATTTCAAACACAAAAACTACTGTACAAGGCATATTGGGCGTAAATGCTAATATGGTGTTAGCAGAGAGTAAGCAACAAGCAAGAAAAGAAAAAAGATGAGTAAAAGTGTCAAACCCTCGATAACCATCAATATGAAAAGAAAGAGTTGTAGGTGGCGTACAATGGAGAAAATGAATATGAAGGAGCAGTATTTTTTAAAAAAGAATTGCATGGACAAAAGGAGATGGATTTGGTCACAGAACAAAAGTTGAGCCGTTATCTGAGTTTCATAGTTGGTAGACTCACCTCAAACTATGTAAATCTAGAGCTAGATTAAAAACATGATGTCATAGAGGTCAAAGCCTACGGGCTATGGGCCACTCACAATTTTATCGCAAAAGAGGAGGTAAAAGAAGTGAATGTCCTAGTGCCGAAGACTTTAGGTTATGAAGTTATTATAGGCACTCGTGTACCAAGAGGTAAAGGAATTTGTTAAAGTGTTGAGCTTGTGTTACTTTAATTAAGCTCATTTGGGATAGAGAATCCTCTCCTTGGAATATTATAACCAGAAGGACATTGAAGGATGGGGAGATCGTGGAATTATCTGAGCTACTATCTTGGAGAACTCGGGTCTCTTTTCAGTTTCATCTCTTTGTAAGCTTGGAGGTGTAGAATCGCAGTTTTCAAAAGCTGTTATATCTTCTCTTTGGAATTTGGGCAGTCCTAAACGAGTGAATATGTTAGTTTGGATTCTCCTAAATGGAAAAGTCAATACAGCAGAGGTTCTATAAAAGAAGTCCCCTAATATGGCTTTGCAGCCATCCATTTGTTTGTTGTGTGCTAAAGAGAGTGAAAGTTTGAACCATGTGTTTTTCTTCTGCCCATATGCCTCTGCCTGTTGGATTTCTTTCCTCCAGACATTCAATATGGATTGGGCATGGGACCGTGTGGCTGCTTGCAACATTTTCTAGATTCTTAATGGAGTTAGTCTGATGACTAAAAATAATCTTCTTTGGATTAATGGCTTTAAGGCGATTATTTCATAATTATGGTATGAGAGGAATCAAAGGATTTTTTAATACTCTAGCCGTTCATCAATTGAATGCTTCAATCTTGTCAAATTCAAAGTCTCTCAATGGTATGCTCTATCCGATATTTTCTCATCCTATTCTCCTAATATGATTTGTATGAATTGGGAGGCTTTTATAACTCCTCTGTAGTTTTGTTCTAAAAGTTAAAACTTCTGTTTTTTTTTTCGTTTTTCTTTCACTCCCTAGGGAGTTTGTATCCTTGAACAATTTTTGTTCCTTTTCATTTATAAATTTTTCATTTATCATTTATCAATGAAAAGTTCTCATATCTTGTCAAAAAAAAAAAATTAAGCTCATTGTGGCCAAAAATTGTTGCCCTTATCACTAGGAATTACAGACATGATCCTGGGGATCCAATGCCTTTCCTCATTGGGTTGCCAGAAAGGTGGATTCACAAAATGGTATTATATGACCCTTTTAAGGGAGAGAAGGAATCGTATAATCGAAAGGTGGTCCTACCAACACAGTAACGGTTCACATGGAAAATTGGTTATGAAAGGAATAAAAGATAGAAGGCCAATAATTATTGGTGGAGAGATCTCCCTGGGCTGTGTACTCTTTTGTGATTCCAATAACATTCCACTTGGTCCCATTAAATTCAACGATTCAAGTATAGAATCAATAGGAGAAATGAAACCAACAGATTTTGTGATGACAATTGGCAGTTCAGGTACATAAACCAATTGAAATTAGTAGACATCTTTCCCATCGAAAAAAATTAGTGGACATGATGAGGGACAGAAGAATCATGCGACACTTAGAATGCAGTTCAGGGGACCAATGCAGGAGACAATATTCTATACAACTCATCCTGGCTCTTCACAGATGCAATAATATAGAAACTTCGAAAAAATTGTATGCGATATTTTATAGCCCATTTTTTAGTCCGTTTATGAACTCTTGGTGCTTAGAACATCTGATAATACTGATACAAAGAGTCAAAATGTGCAGCAAAAGATGTATCATCTACCAGGCTTCTCTACTAGAGTACAACACTAGGAGTCATGCAATAATAATATCATACTTTCTATTGAAAGTAAATTTTGATATACTAAATAAGATACTCACTTAAGCCCTTGGGCGACAAGAGCATCCCTGGCTCGATTTCCAGCAACCACAACACGCTTTAGGGTTTCAAGTGCAAGTATGCTTCCACCATGCCATCCTATAGCTTTCATTAGAAGCGGAACCACCTAGAAAAAGATGAGATATAATACAAGTTGATGATATCAAAGCAAGTTAAAGATGATTGATGGCTCAGGATTCTAGATATTGACAAGCATTTCCAATGTACAGAGCACTGTAACCCTAATGGTTCAACAAGAACCAAGAGTGGGATAAGCACGTTAACAGCATTTTTTAAAATCAAAACTAACATCCCACAAATTCCTTTCATGTAAAATTAACATTAATGTCCTTAGAATGACAAATTGTCTTTCTATGGCCAAGGAATATAAAATTCTTTTTCCAGGGTGTTGTATAGATAATATAAGAAATATACCTGAGGAGTTCCAGCACTAGTTGCTGCCATAGCTTCTGCACATATGGTACTAGCTGCCAGTTGATGTAGGACACGTAAACAGCTGAGACGCACACGTTCCTGTGGAGTTTGTGCAGGCTGTTCAGATCCATCACCAGGTTCATGAATTCTCTCCTCATAGTTGCCATTGTTTGCCTCCCCAGATGACATGGTTTCTCGTCTGGCCTCATAAGCCACGGCAGCAACAAGTTTAGGTACATATCCAAGATATCCAACATGATCTGCAAGTGCAGGGTGCACTCGCAACAATGAAACCAAAGCAGCAGAAAGGAGAAGAGGAAGCTCTGGGTTAAAAGATTCTGTATCATAATGTGTGGCAGCAATTGATGACAGATACTGATCCAACAATCCTTCCAAAAATCTCTTTGGATTTCTTAGAGGAAACTTTGGATCTTTTAGAAACAGTCTAACATATATTCCTCCAACCTGCATGAACATAAAGCTGCTGAGTTTTGCAGCAAAGTAGACCGACAATGTAAGATGGAAGATATGTCATGTTATATACCTGAGGCTCATCTCTCATTTCTTGTTGTGTAGATGCCTGCTCAGGCACATCCCAATCAATAACACGACCTTTCATCTGCTCACGATACAAGTCTGAAGCCATGGTTGCAATTTGGGCAGACAATGAGGCTGCCATTGCTGATGTCCATACAAGTTCCGGAGTCTCAGTGGTCTGGTCCACAGATGCCACTACAGCTTCACCAGGACCATCCCTGATAACTGAAACTAGGCCATCTGGAAGAAATCTTGCAAGAGTTATAGCAACTCTAGGACCATGCATAGGCTGCCCAATGAGTTTTCCCAACAAGGAGGCGGCAGCAGCTCTTTGTTGCAGCGGAATTTCATCTGCATGTTATATATTTTATAACATAGGTTAATAATTGTCCGTTTCAAGATGCATAGATGGAACAAGATAAATTTAATTTACGATTAGTTACCCTGCAAAGGTAAGAGGATTTCTAGAATATATACAACACCACCATGCTTGGCAGCTGACCAGGCGAGTTCTGCAGTACTTGCCAGAGCATAAAGAACATGAAGAACCCCTTCACGACATTGTGGATTGGAGTGGAGCATTTGCAATAAAAGGAGAAGACCGGACCCATCAGCAACCATAGCCTCTAAGCAGGGAGCATATGCAGTTAAAAGTGACAGCACATTGAGACAAAGTTGAGCTATGTTGTATTTCGATGGAACAGGAACTGAAAAGCATTCAAAAAGAGGCAACAGTTTGTCCTTGGTAGAAAAGATGGATGCCAGATTGGGATAGCGTGTAAGCAAATTCTGAAAATTAAAATGGAGGACAAGAGTGTCATATATGTTGAATTGCTTCCATACCAAATAAAAGATATCAAACTTAACTCTTTGCATTTTCAGTATGATCCACAAATCCAGTAGATAAAAAACCCATCGAGTGAATTCCATTTGATGAATATGAATCAGCAGCATACCTTTAAGGAGGTCAATCCAAATTGAAGGTTCTTAACTAATAAAGCTTCTTCCTTTTCAGCACCCTGTCCATCTGATGCTGACATTGTATCAACCGGCACTTTCAGCTGACTAATTGATCCAGAAGCCTCATCGTTAAGATGCTCAGAAGAATTGGGAGATGAAACACTAAGATTATGTTCATTTTGAGAACTACAACTCTCACTAGTAACAGGTTTGTCCTCAGAAACAGAATCTGCAAAGTACTGATTATGCACAAGGTATGCTATGAATTCAACCAAAGCAACACCAAAAGCCTCTGGGCTACTAATCTCAAAATCTGGTTGATCATTGTAAACTCTCAGATAAACGTTGCCAACATAGAGTTCTTTTGATAGTGCCTCATACACAAAGCCATGAGAATCTTTCAGATCATATGACCCGTCAGGACCCTGACTACTGCGCTGCTGATCCACAAACTTGAGAAGTTCTGCTCGTGTTGAAGAGTTCCAAATAATCTACAAGGCTCATATTTAAAAAAATTAGGCAAGAATTATAATTTAAGAACTCTAAATTCATTATACAGATGGTAAAATGTCTTATACGGTACTGATGGAATGCATGTCAAACAAGAATGCCTTCAAATATCTAAGAGTAGAAAGGCAGAAGAATAGAGAAAGGTAAATGAATAAACCAGCATATACCTCAGGTGATTCCAAGTTAGCATTTATTTTGGACAGCAGATCTTTAGGTTCTTGATCCTTCAAAAGACTGGCAAGTTTTGGAGTTAACAATGTATGGAGAGCATCAGCAGCAGCCTGATTATAGGGTGTTGTACTTTCGTCAATGCACATCCCACTTAGCCTTGAGAGGGCCTGGGAAGCACGTAGGGCATGCAGATTTTTTGCAATTTGAACACTGGCACCAACACCATGTGACTCTTTTGTGTCAGAATCCTCTGCTGTTGAGTCATATTGAAGCAACAGTGGCAATAGGCACCTAAAAATATTTGGAATTAAGAATACATGATCAGGAGGTTTTCATATGACAACAATTTCAGGCTTCAATAGTCTATAGCCATTAATTGAACCGACGACCTGGAAGTAGATGATAAAAAGACAAATGAAAATTTCGCCCAGTGAACACCATATTCAGGAGATAGACGGGAGCAAAACAGATAACAGCATCAAATCATGGTCAAAAGCAACAAAAAGATACAGAGATAAATTAGATAAGAAAGACATACCATAGCACCCCAGATTTTAACAAGGCATCCTGGAATTCAGAGGAAACAGAAACATGGACTATAGTCTGGAGAGCAGCATCAACAGCTGCTGGAACCAGCTCAAGTTCAGTGCAATGAACTATATCATCCACAAGACCAGAAAATTCAAGCATCTCGATCCTTGCACTATCAAACTGGCTTAGGACAGAAAAGGTTCGCATGACATTTGTAACAATGATAGCAGATGGTTCACTTGCAGAAGTTGTTGGCTGCACCACACACATGCAACGGGAAAGAAGAACGGCAAGAAGTTTAATTCCACCATCCCTCACTAGTTCTTCACCATTCAATGAAGATGATGCACACCTAACGCATGAAGAAGAAATTTCAGTTCATCTTATCCATCTCAAGAAACAAATGAACTGACAATGTGAAAAATAATACTGAAATAGGGAACAGTTACGTGAGCCACAAAAGTTCTGATGCTGCTATGAGGAGCGGTGCTCTATCAGATGCAAGAAAATTGTTATCTTCATTGTCCACTGTTACAGCATTTAGCAACATTGGATACCCGGCATATTTAAATGGTTCAAGTACATTTCCATAGCGCCTGTACAGGATACATTGACCTTTCAACAAAAGCAGCAATCTCCAAGGTTGTGGACCTTGCAACCCTTGCATGGTAGCCTATGAAGGAAATTAGAAAAGTGTTTATCATAAAAAAGTGTGATTGACTTGTACAGATACACAGCCAACGGCTGTCATCTGTTAGTAACAAAAATAACTTGAGGTACACGCTAAGGAAAGGCTCTATGTAATGTATCATGTGCATTCATGAACTAAAAATTCCGAATATAATTAGAAAAGAAAAGCTAAAAGAATAAATATCAAATAATTGTAATGCTACACGTCATTGGTCATCATATTACGTATATGGGATACTAGATTTCACATTAAGTTCCAAAGCACATTTAGCACAGAAGATTAAACAAGCAAAACCTTCATATTACAGAATCTGGGCATCATAAGCGTCTCAAGCACCAATAAGGTTAAAAATTGATGGAAGAACTGGTTTCAATTCCCATTTCTCCTTGCTCTTTTTTTCACTTACCAGACTTCTAGAATCCTACAAATGACGTTTGTACCCTATTTTCTAGCCGCTTTTCTTCTCTCTTTACAAGACTTACCAGACTTTCTGGGTTCTGTACATGAGGTGGATACTCTCTTTTTTTTTAATGAACATGAGGTGTATGCTCCATTTAGCTCAATTGAGCCCATTAGGATCCACAACCTTTGAGGTACAGATATGAAGTATATGCACTAACTTCCTTTATAGCATACTTTGAAAAGGGACTAAAATTCCCGATTCTATATATGATATCTGCCATATTATCAACTTTATGAAGAACAATTTATGCTGTCGGCATCAAAATGAAATGTTTTGAAGGCCTACCTGTAGGCGCTCATAAGCTTTCTGCACAGCGAGAAATTTTTCCCTTCCTTCAGGATTTTTGTCAGGATGGTATTTCATTGCAAGTTTCCTATATTGCCGTTTAAGCTTTTCTTCATCAATATTCTCAACTTGCTTGGAGATGCCAAACATCTCTTCACCATTTTCAGAGGAGCGCCTCATATTACCAACATCATTTGACACATCCTCGAGAGATATCTCCAATATTTTGCAAGCTTCTTCTTCTGAGAGATCCATAGGTCTGCGTGTTAGTTCTTCACGCCACATAACAAGTAATGACTGCAGAAATTCAACATGTTCAACAATTGGCCAATTGGGAAATCGTATCTCATCACATAAGTTCCTTAGATAGTAACGGTGACACCACATTTCATCCCTCAACTCTTGGTATGTCACTGGTGGCATAGGAGCATATTCGTACAAAGAATGGCAATGCTGTGACAATTTTTGGGGAAAGTCGCCAAGATGCTGTAACACCTGGTGAAAAAGAGAGAGAGTTTCAGGTTTGGACGTATGTGTTGTATGTAAACCAGAAGAATATGTTTATGGAAGCAAAAATAAACGGAAATCAGGGGGTCAGCACCTGACAAATTAGGTTCTCTGCTCTCATTTTGTGAGTCCATATGATCTCAGGAGTGTCTGAATCAGAAACCATTGCAGCAGCAAATGCAGCTGGGCCACTTCGCTCCAATACATAGAGCAAGGATTCAGGAAGAAGTCCACCCAATACACTACGTTTTGCAAGAGGCAAAGAAGAGGAAACTGCAGCTTCTTCTCCACCATGAAATGCTTGATGAACATGAGTCACTGAGAAGAGTTGTGCGATTGAAAGAAGGTTAGATCCTGGATATGCAAGGGCAAAATAGAAGGCACCTGTGCTGTAAAGACGGATCATGGCCTTGGGATTTCTGGTGACAACAGCTCTTAATAAAGCAGCTGAATGTTCCACAATGTTTGGTTCCCCAGAGAGCATAGCCTACATACCACAAGGGGAAAAAATAGCCACTGACATACATTCTCCCTGGCTAGGCCAAAAAGAGGAAAGAAAGACGGCAAGAGAACTCAAACAAAGACTAATCATTAAGGTCTCAAACTCTAGGTAAGCCAATATAAGTAAACAGAAATGAACCTATCTAATATATATTAGTAATGAGATAATATAGAATAGAAACTACTGAAACATGCGATAGATTTAGGCAGTATCATCACCACACATGAGAGAGATCATGCGTTATTGTTTTATTGGGGGAAAAAAAAAGATCACCATACTTACAATTGATACAGTTTGTTTTCTTGAAATATTTATTATGAGTTACTACTGGTCAATTTCATTACCACATCATTATAGTAGTTCATATTATTAAAGAACCATAACTTTAGTTGTTTAAAATTGACAACGATCTTGTCTTTAGAGGTACTTTTTCCTACGATTTATCATTCAAAAGTAATGCCTCAACTAGAATTTTCTTGGTTCTCACTAGCCTAAATAATTCACAGTTTAACACCATTAGGCATAAGACCCATACGAAAAATAATGCATGATTCAGCCAGACCATCACTTCTGGGTAAGAACGAGATAACCAGAAGTTCCTTCTCATAAGTAATCGTTGAAAAACAGGAAAAGTTCCAGATCTCACCTGAGCAATGTGTGGAAGGCATCTGGGACTGGACAAGATTCTTTTCACTCTGGGGGTTGGGGTGACTATCTCTCCAGCATCATCCAAGTCCGAATGTGCAGACACCATACTATGTAAAATAGACAATGCAGTCTCACCAATCTATACCACAAACACATTATATCAAGATATCAGTGGAGAGAAAGAGAGAAGTTGCAAAACATATTCTACACTTAGTTGTTGGAGTATATAGCAATGATCAAGCAGCACCAACACCCTTCATAAATTGCTTAAATCCAGAGAGAGAGAGAGATAGAAGGATTGTGTTTTATTGACTCGATTTGTGCGTGTCATCCTTGTGCAGGGGCCATGCTAATCTTATTTATATCGTTCCAATTTTATAGGATGTCCCCGAAGGAACAGATTGTTCTTTATCGACAGGAGAGTGCAAAAGGAATTGACAAAATAATATTCTCTTCGCTGCTGCAATATTTTTTCCTCTGGAAAATCCATAGTGAGGGAAAGATGCCTAAAAATACTGTAAGGTTCTGAAAACTGTATCTTCCATATAGAAATCTATCACTGATTATTATCCGAATGGAAGATGAATTCCCACGTATGACCAATTTATCTAAGAGAGAAACAATAATCTCAAAGATAAGATCACTGGGCCGAGAGAAAGGAGATAGAACTGCAAATGCACATTCACAAGGTATTTGCAGGAAGACTGAATAATGGCCATAGGGTCTAGAAAAATAGAATGATGCAACAAAGTGATTACTAACATGAGATATAGCCAATCAATATGTATGCAGACAATAAATATGTATACATATCACTACTACCTGAGCTGGTGTAAGAACAGAAACTCGAACAGCCAATGCCCACCGTAGTTCACGTATATCACGCAATCTCTTCCAATCCAGCATTCCAGACGCCCAACATCGTGTTGTCCAATCAATAGCTTTCTTTGACCACAACCTTCTAACAGCATCCTTCTCCAATGGCCCAACTTTTTCATTTTCTTTGTCAATAAACATCCATTCTTTGAGTGGTTCCATAAAAGCAGTGGCGGCAAGTAAATTAGACTCCAAAGGAATAGCGGTCCTCTCTGAGGCTTCATGAACCACTGTCAGCAGATCAACAGCTAATACACATCCTCCAACCAAAACACAGGCCTCTACATTTGATAACACTTTCATTAATGCCTGTAAGCAAAGTCCGTGTAAGTGATAGAAATATCTTTATAATATCTAAAGATGATATTAGTCATCTTGAAGAACGTTCTATGCTAGCTTAGTAATAGGAACTGAAACAGTCAATTCCATAATTTTGGTTAAAGTGGGCAATTGAACTGAAAAAATTAACAAACTAAGATAAAATGAGTTTTCTTTCTTTTACTTAATGATATTCACGGTCTTTCCAAAACAAGTACATCACTCAAAGTGGCAAGGAAAGGAGGACAGGGGGAAGGGTTTTGAGAATTTATCCACCTTCAAAAGAAGAAGAAGACGATGCCTCAAAGCTCTATCATCTGTTCGATCCAAGAGAACTGTTATATGAGCAGTGCCTTCAAATGGACCAATTGTTTGATGATGCTGTTCATAGACAATTGACATAGCCCTTGCACATAGCTCTCTAACAGAAGAGCCTCCACCTCCTCCAAAACCATCCAGTCTTCCCATATCACACCAATCATCAGATGCACCCAATTCATCAGGAACAGTACCATCTACTGTGAGTCCTGTGTCTGCATCACATAAGAATCGATGATAGAGTGCTCTAAAGAAAGCAACTGGATCACGGAGTGGAAAATCTTGAGCCCTGCCAGTACTGCTGCTCTCAAGCAACAATCGCAAATAATACTGACCTACACAAACTTCTTTAGACAAACTAGGATAGCTAACTAAGAACTCAGAATAGTTCCAAGAAATTTTTGGTAGGCTATCTTGGCCCGTCATACTTTCTCCAACAGGTGCAACCCCAGGAACAATATCTTCAGACCGTTCTTTCTCAACATCTAATTTATGAACCTCAGCCTGCAATGTTTCTCGTAGTTCTTGTCTCGTGCGCTCATTCCAAATCAAATCAGCACGATTATGATCAAGGCTAAAAGCTCGCCAAAATTCAGGCCAATTACAGAGTAGCCTGCCAGATCCAACAGGAGTGTTCTCCACAACAACCTGAGCAGGAGCAGGAAGTCCTGAATCCTGAAAACTGATCATGTTAGCATCAACATTGTCAACAGTTGGTTCTGATGCCTCGTTTGTGTTAGTAGTTGGAACCTCAATTGAAGAAGTAACAGCAGATTGATCGCGTTGGGCTACTCCTGTAGCATCACCAATGATGCTGTCACTAGGATGAGCAACAGAAGTTGGAATGGTTGAAACTGGACCAGCACTTATCTGTCTGGAAGAATCGCCAATCTCAAAATTATTCTGTGGCAAGTTTTGCTCTTGAGATGTTATCACTCTACCTGAACGACCTCTCCTCTGGAGTAAGCGTCTCTGTCGTCTACTATATGATCCTTCTTGATTTGAGTCCTCATGCAAAACTCCATCAGATCGTGTGTGTAAATACGCAACAAGCCCAGGAGGCAAGACTCTAGATAACAAATCTAAAGCCGGTTGATAGGAGTCTGCCCAAAGAGCAACCAACTGCCGACTAACATCACGTCTCTCACCAGCAGGAAGGAAAAATGCATGTGATAAATGCCTTAGTATAGCACCATCTCGTAAAGCAGCATCACGCATTGACTCTGCTGCAATGGCATCTTCTTCTGCGATTGTGCGCATTATCACAGCCACAGTTTCTCTTACACTTTCAGCTGGATGTCCAAAGAGTGCAAACAAGCGACGCTTGAGGCCAGCCACTTGGCGTAATAATTCAACAAAAACTGGATATTGAGTTGTTTCACCATGTGGTTCACATATCATCGCATCAAGAACTTCGACAACAGCCATGGAAAGCAAAGGAGAAATAGTCATTGGCTTCAGTCGGTTGACAAGAATGATCACGTAACTTTGATGAGCAAATAACACAGACTTGGTATGCATGATTGTAGCATGCCGCTCTCCTTTAGAATCTGTCACAATGTTTGAATCACCAGGCCCACCACCAATAAGCACTGCAATTAGCCCAGCGGCTTCAGCAGCCACACCCTCAGAACCATTTCTAAGCAAACCCATTATTCTCCCAACAGCAGCAGGAAATGACATCACATGTGAGGATGCACTTGTTGATGCTAATAATCGACGTAAACATGATATGAAGCCCATTACAGTTGCAGCTGCTTTAGGTGAAGGAGGTGGCAATGGAGGGGACTCGGGAGGAAGATTTGGTGCAGCTGGAAGCATTGTGATCAAGGCCATGAGGGTCACCTCCGGTACTTCAATATTGGAAGGGACCCCACTGTAAGGTATACAAGCATTAAACTCCCTTATTCTACGCCAAAGTTTAGCTCTTGATCCAGGTATAGAACCACTTTCAGCCACAGCATCTTTAGCAGCTGCTGCCAAGTGCTTCAAATGCATGGACGCATTTTCCAAATCAATGACAGATTTTTGTGGACCAAATTGTAGATGGACTCTTCCACAAGGTGGGTCGATACGGTGACCAGGCATTGTTAGCCTAGGTAATACTGGTACTGGATACTGACCCTAAAGGTAAACAGCAGAAAAGAAAATAAACAAAAGTAAGTTACCAATCACTCCAAAACATAGCTTTCTATTTCTGCATGCTCGATACTAAAACAATTTCAAGCCAGACACATCTCTACCTACTTCTGTTTGCAAAACATCCCGAATGGCTGCAAGTAAGTTATCACGAGACGTACTTGCATAAACCTGTTATTAATGCCATGTCCATTAGAATTTCATTAAAAATAATAATAATAATAATCTAGACTGAAGCTTTTTTTTTTTTTTTTTAAATTTAGACTGAAGGTTTTAAAAGGTAATGCTTACATGAATAGGACACCCATCATTGAATTCAATTGCAAACATCTGGGGCTCCTCTGCAAACCGCACAAGGGAGCTGACAGCAGATAAAGGACGAACTATAACTGCCTGTACATAAAATTTCAATGATTTACAAAATTTCATCTACCATGCAAGATGCATGAGAAAAACATGCTGAATCTGAATGGTTGCCTTGATATTTCCATTCAATTATTCACAATTCTTTGACATATTTGCCTCTCAAATTCTTCATGAAGATAAGTAATTGCAGAATAAACCCCCTTTGAATTAGATTATGTGGATGAGTATAGGAATAAAATGCCTAAGAATTGGATGTTTGGGAATTCAATATCTACAGTTATTATGCTATCATATTTGACTGAAAAAATAAATCAAGAATCTGAAAAACCATTAGTAAGTAACCATTTAGTAGAATGCAGATATAAGCATCAATATTATTTAATTAACATATAGTGGATATCCAAAACAATAATTAAATCAAGTTTAACTAATTTATACCTGTTCAGAACAAAGTTTTGAAAATTGACATATCAAATCAATAAATATTATTAATTTATAATTCAAGTAAATGAACAAAACAATTTGTTGCTTAAACAATTACTATCTTAAATGTGCTAAACCAACCAATTCAAATTATTTCAGATTCAGAATATTTACCACTGAAGCTGTAACTAAAATATTAAAATATTTTATTATTATCAACTGATTCAATTTAATAGGGGTAAACAAACAAAACCAGTGGGCATATTAAGAGACATTCCGATGTAGAGGTAAAGAGGGGGCTTCGACACAAGAGATAAGGGTGTGTCAAACACAAAGGGAGAGTTTTTCCATGTGACGTCTCTCCAATGGCTGAGAAGATAATGATCGTGAAGAGAACAATGGGGCTCTGCTGGGAATGCGTGAAGCCGTGAACTTGAAGTGTATGGGCACCTGAGTTTTTGAGTGAGTTTATTTCCCAAGACATAGAAAACCATCGGCTAGGGTAGTGATCAGATGCCAAATAGAATAACTAGGGTAAAGGACGCCTTTAGGTTAAAAAAGAAAAAAAGTGCCTCCAACATGAGAAATAATAATCCATTTGATTTCTCATGGACAAAAAAGACCTTCCCGAGTTGTGCAGTGAATGATCTTGAAAGTATAACCATTTTTTTATTACACCAATACAACTTTGATGCCTCTTGTTAGTGTCATATACCCCTTAAAAAATTTAATCAGAAAATTACAACTGTTAAAATTTTCCTTGAAGGACCTTGAAAAAGCCTCAAAGTTACTCGCTTGAAGATGTATCACTTTATAGGAGTTTTTTGCACAAAATGAAGATGAGGGTAAGGGTGACAACGACAACAAAAGCAAAGTTTCGCAGGAGTTGTTTCACACAGCAATGACAATTTCAAAGAAGAATTTGATAGACTTCTCTAGGATGAAGTCACGGCAAACAATCCATAAGAAATAAGCTAACACTACAAGAAATAAGTAGTCAACAGCTCAAACTAATGATAAAATTAATAATAAAAAGCTAAGGATCTGTCACTTACTTCATAATTTTCTGGGCGTCTTTCAAATATTGAGACCTTTGTAAGAATGAGTTGACGAGACACAGCATCACCGTGCTCACCAAGTCCTCCTTTAGGGCCAACTCCCAAATTCAATCCTGGAACATTTAAAGTTCCATGTGCAGCAGATCGCAGTCTCGTAACAGACCAGCCACCGCATGGGGTTTCATCAGCTCCAACAGCCTCTTTTGCTAGATTTAATACAGTTTTCCAAATAAGCTATAATATAAATAAATGGAATTTTTAAAAAGTATGGAAGTACGTGTAAGATGGAGAATGGTATAATGACATACCCCTTCGATTTATGTACTCTGTCACACTGAGGGATTGTGAAATGTCCACTGTAAGTGACAACCCAACCATGGATTTTGCTGTTTTTGTCTACAATAACACTTCAAATTAGAAATTCTTGAAAATGTAAAACCTTTCGAGGTAATTGTTTTGGTAGTTTCTCCCTAATGGAAGCCTCCTAGTAACACAAACTGCTAACCAACATTAAGCCAAAAAATAGAGGAAAACTGTATGCAACAGTCTGAGATGCCAACCTACCAAAATTGAGATGATGGCACTGTTAGAAGTTCCCGAAGAAGCTTGAAAGGCTTTCGATTTCCTTCCATATAAAGGGCAGAGAACAAAACCACCATATTCAGCACTTTTTTTACCATAAGCATCAGGTAGGATTATTATAGCAGGAGAGGCCATATCTCTGAAGTCCAAGCACCAACGAAGGTCTCCAGATTTCACGTCTATAAGTTCGACTCCAACATTAGAAATTTTTAATTTCTGTAAAAGCAAGCACACATAATGCCAGACCATTTAGCAACTAAATCTAATCAACACACTAGGCTTGAGAACGTGTGAATGTAATTATCAGAAATCATTCATAAAAGTGCTTTAATCAATAGTATCGCCATTTTGATTAAGCTCTTCTGACTGTCGACTCTTGGTTTTATTTTTTAACTAGACGAGAAAAGTATAGAGACAGTAGCTGATACTTGAGCATTTTATATACATGTCCGCAAAGAAACATACCAACAGCATTAAAACGTAGTGTAAATAAGTTTGACAGCGTTAAACATCTAATTTTTCCCTTGGTTAAAGGCAAGGCAACACGACTTTCTTCCAGTTTCTTGTGTCTGATATTCTTAACCATCGGTTGCAGCCTAAGAAGTGTATATTAGGCTAGAGAGTTCCTCAACATAATCGCAATATTCAAAATTTATTTTTATAAAAAAAAAAAAACATTACTTGGAGGCAAAAGAGGGAACTTACAAAGGGAACCCACTCCGAGCTTCGTCGCCGAAGATGAAGCACCGAAAACTCCGCCACGGGGGCCAACTTATTCCACCTAATTCTGTGCAACTCCGTCAGTATACTCGCTCTGTATTTGGAAGAGAACTTCATCCCCTTGAACTTTCCGCGCCCATCCGTGCGAACACTCAAGTTAAACTCGTTCGAATTGTCATCTCGCCCAATAATCGGTGCGGCGCCCTCGTAGTCACTGGAGACGTCGTACGAATTGGTCACCGCCAGTGTGGAAGGGTCCAATGTAATGATTGAGGCGGCCGAAATACATAGAATTCGCTTGTAGCGGCCACGCCACGAGTGCTTAATGACCAAGTAGCGTCCCAAGTATTCTGGCTCTTCGGGAGGCGCAGAATTGGATGGCGGAGCGGTGGATTGTTCCATTGCAGGCGGACGAGCAGAAGCTGGTCGAGAATCAGACGTAAGCCGGTTCACAGATTCGATATTGGCAAGGTAAGCAAGAGTATGGGCAGGAGGCACATTGTTAGATCGAAAGAACCAGAGTCCCGCGCCGGATTGGGCAGATGTAGCCGCCGACGGGCTTCTGTGAGACCGAGACTGATTCGCCCCCAGCTCTGACGGTTATATATCCAATTCTCCAGCTTCAAATTGAACAAACTAAACCCTAATTAACTCTAATCATCAAAATATTCTGCAAAAAAACACAAAAATTATCAGCTGAAATCCGTGTAATTGATCATGCAGTCAACAGAAGGGCATTTGATGCCCTCAATTGTATACGATCAAGTAGTAGCATCAGAAAACCAATTGCAAATTACTTGGAACTGAAATTAGTCGATCGGAGAAGTGCGAGCGTGGCGGAGACGAGAAGTCGAATACAGGTCGAAACGATTGTTCCCTGCGTTGAGAGGAACCACTGTCAGTTGGGCACCGGAATTGGGGTGAGGTTATCGTCACCTGTCAGTGACCATCTAATGACGTGGCGTCAGTTCCATTGCGAGATGTGTTAAATCTAAGCCGTTGATTAGCAGGAATAAGCGCAATTAAATATAATCCCCTTGATTTTCTTTCCTGTCTCAGGGCTTTGATTGAGGGCTTTACCTTAATAGCTATATGAAATTACGAAGTCAACTGCCTCCTGTGGTAACAATAAAATTTCAGCCAAAGGGACATTTTTATTCAAGGTTCCTAAATTCGACACACTTTATTAGACAAAAAAAAAAATATATACAAAAGTGTATTAGAAAAATGATGATAAATCAAAACTTTTTACATGCGAGGGAAATTATTCCGTTTGGTCAAGACCCTAAATCTCCTTGAATGAGTTTACTTTTTCTTTTTTTTTAATTACAAAATATTTGAAATGTTTGTTCTATCTTGGGCCAGTTTGGCTGGAATTTCTCTTAAAAAAAAAAAAAGTTTTGCTTTAATTTCTTTTAATGTCTTTGTCAGGCTTCCAAAGTAGTGTAATTTGAAAAACACTTATAGAAAATATTATTTCTTTTAATTGATTGACGATATTAATATATACAACAAATATAAAGTACAACAAGTGATGTGCCAAAACGAACATACAATTGATATATATCTTCAACTAAGAGTTTGTAAATTCGATTCTCCACTCTTACATATTGTCATGTAAGTTCAAATTTCTACTCTATTTAATTTAAAAAAAAAAATTATATACTATATATTCTCTGTCAAAACTCAAATATTCAAATTCTAATTTTTTTTATGGTTTGAATTATGAAAAAACTCAAAGAAAGAATTCTTAACAAAACAATCTCCTAGGAGACCAAAACAAGTACGTTAAATTTATTTTCAAACCAACGTATTGTTAGGAATTTATTTTCCCAAGTTCGTTCTAGATATGAAGGGGGAAAAAACAACAAACTAGTTGATATTTGCGGGAATCTTAAGCCTGAAGGTAAGTTGGAAAAATGGCCTTTTTTTTCCCTTTGCAATTTCCAAGAAGCAGCCACGTGCTTTTTTTTTCCCCCCTATTAATCTATATACTTTATATATATTACAAAAAGTCACAAGTATGTATAAATTAAAAGCTAAAAATTAATATTGTATGTATGCATTTTTGAATCAGAAGCAGCTCTAGAGTCCAAAATAATCAGGAAAACAGCAGAGGAAATTAATTAATAACAACACAGACACGTGCTTTTCACGTGCATGTCCCGGGAACCATTAGGTTTTAATTAATCGTACACAAGAACTGTGTGAATTTATGGGTAGCATTTTCCGGCAGGCAAATGCAGAGCAGCATTGAGCCGTTGGATCCGGTCGCTCCTCCCGGCAGGAAAACGCAGACCTGCGGCGTCGGAGACAGATCAATCGGACCCGCATACACCGGCCGTCCCCACCCGAAATCCGCAGATTCATAGATCGAAAACCTAGTCCACTGCGTGATCGTCAATTTCCCCCCAAATTCCAATCTCCTCGGCCGGTCCACTTCAATGTAATCCACCGTCGATTTCACGTACTCCTCCGACACGCCGTTCCTCGCTTCCCGGACCAATCGAGTCGTCCGCGAGAGACGGTTCTGGACCAGCTCCGATACGGTGCTCGTCACGCACGCCAGGCACAGCACATTTCCGTAAAACCCTTCTTTCAATGGCGGGTTTTTGAGTTTCTGCCGGGAATTTACTGAAAATGTTAGTCGGAGCGTGTAATCCACTGGCTTTACATCCAGGGCTTTTACCCAAGACCTCCAGACATGAGCCGCCATGGCGTCGAAGGTGGAGCAAGCCGGCATATCGTCCGGCTGGGCGCGGGTTTTCAGCCAGAGTTGGAACTCGCGGCTGACTCGGTAACATCTTTGAACAGGTTTCGATTGCCAGAGGGTCATCGTCAAGCTCGAGCCATCGTCGATTTTCATGAATTCGAGATGGGGGAATTTCACAATTGGTGGGTCGCGTGGCCTGAAGAATTCTCTTTCCCAACACGGCTCTGGGTTCGCTATTAGCCTGCCTGATTTGGCTGTGGCGGCCCAGGAGCTGAGGAATTGCATAGCGCCTAGGCCGTCGCAGATGCAGTGGCAGAGCCTCAAGCCCAGGCTGAAGCCTCCACACTTAAACAAAGTCACTTGGGCTATGAGCAATGGCATGTCAAGTACTCTGTACGGCTCTTCATTTGGAAACTTGTAGATCAATGGCTCCCATGCTGGGTTTGGAACAGTAATGTCTCCCAAACTGGTCAATGTTATTTCAGAGTGAGCTTCTACCATTAGAGCTCCTTGTTCTGGTCCGAAGAACACTTCCACCTTCCCATTTTTGGTTTCTCTGAGCCTGCCTGATAAAGGGTAATAAGGAATCAAGACAAGGGAAAGTGCTTCTCGAAGCACTTCCATGACTGGCTTATCGCCGGAGTTGAAGCTGTCCAACTGGTAAAAGTAGACCGTTGGAGTGAAGACACGGGCTCCGATCACATCATCCAGGTTAGAGAGGTAAAGGTAGTCGCCGTGGGTGGTCGGTATAGGGCCTGCTGGCATGATTGGGACCATGCTGTCAATGGTGACGGGGATGTCCATGGGAGGAATATGGAGCTCTTGAACCCACGGTGGAGCCGCCATGAGAGAATGCTGAAACGGGTCTTGCCGGTTGGCGGCATTTGTAGAAGAAGAGTGAATTTTTACCAAGCCATGCAAAGAAAGCTTGAGCTAAAATATAAAGGCTTGATTTTAAAGTTCTGTTGGTGGGTAACAGTTGATACCGACTTTATTCATGATATGAAAAATACACGACCAGTATCATTGTTAATTCTATGTTTTGCTGATGATCTTACTAGTTATTCCTAAAAATAAGAAACATGGTGTGCAAGAAGCTAAAAAATTTTAAACTTTTTCCATTCAGATGAAGATAAAGATGACTGAGAAAATGCAGATGGCCTCATTGTACAATGAATAAATGAAACAGGCATTTTTCTTGAGCACGATTTGACAAAGACTTAGCCAAGTTGAAACAAGACAACGGGAGCACTGTTGTCGAATGTAGGCTCAGCAATCAACATTCTGAATGACAAAACCATATATTTTTCTTTTTAACCTTTCCACCTTTTCTTTCAAAGGATCATCTCGCTTTGAAACTACACGGTCCAGCCAGTCGTTAACTCGCTTCAACTGGGACAAAACGGATGCAATAGAGCCACGATTCGGGATCGGAGGTGACGTTTTGATGCCATCTCCTGAGCTTTCTCTAAATACCTTCGAACCAGCATCAAGGGACTCCTCAACAAACTTTAGAAACCAAAGCTTCATCTCAGACTGCAACTCCATAGCAAGCTCTACAGTCTCTTTCATTCCATGGCCTCTAGTCCATGGAACCACATTGGAATTGGTAAGTGAAGAGGCCTCCATAGTTTGCCTTCTTGATACACTTTTCTGCAAAGAAGTTGCAGGGCCAATATCTTGACTGGTGAGAAGGGAGACAATCTCAAGGTTGGTGGCTAAGGCAGCTTCAACCCAGAGAGAGGCAGGTTTTGATTGCTCCGAGCTAATAGCACCAGGCTTGTTGCCATTACGGCTGCCAAAAACTGATTCTGCAATCTCAGTTGATCGCACGACATCGTTATAAATCATGAAAAACCTGTCCACTACATACAGAAGGTCTCCAGTCTTGTGCGTAGAGGAAAGTTCTGAAAACATGCTGAAATGAAATGGAAGTTGAAATCAATTCAGTTGTGGACTTTGAGACTTTAATGTATTGTAAAGCCTATTATTTAAGACAGCATTAAAAGTGGAAAGATGGGTTAATAATACCTTAAGCTCCTTATTATCGATTCTGTAGAAATTGCCTCTTCCAACGCTTCGGCTGCAGCTATAGAAGCAAGATTTCTCCTTTCCATGGCCTCCTGATAACATCAAGTATGAATAAAACCTCACTCCAAGTTTTCCACTAAAAGTATACATTTTTCTTAGACCAGTCTGTTTCAATTTTCAAACAGCATATTAAATCAAATCATTGGCTCAATTCGAACCTTTGCAAGTTTAACAAGATTTGCAGGAGCTGCATCAACTAGAACGCTGCCATCACTCCATTTCTTTTCGTGAACAGTGATACCAAGACCCGAAAATTTGCTTTTGTCTGCAACCTCGCCCTCGGATGGGCTAGAGGACTTCCTTTTTTCTTTACTCCCCACCTCATCACTCTTGGGTCTATGATCATTAACGTCACTCAATCGTCTTGAAATGGCAGCCTAGAGAAGATATAGCAAGACCATGTAAAAATTGTAAAGGAAGAAAACAGCCAATTTGATTGGTTTGGTTCGAAGGAAAATAATGTTCTAGTTAAAATTTACCTGAGTCCGTAGAATTGCTTGAAGATCTGGCTTGTTCTTTGAAACCCCACTATCTTTCTGCTCCTCAGAGGTAGAAGAGACAGTTGATTGATCATCCCAGCTCTTCCTGTTCGATTTTGCAGACCCAACAAGTGCCTCAGAAACCTTAGAAATCCCAGCAGCAATGTTAGTCATCTTCTTCTTGCTTGCAGAATCTGCGACTGCCAAAAGGGGGGAGACCTTCAAACCCCCTGATAACCTTCTAGCTGGAGAAAGTGAAGCCCTGCGTACACTAGGAGAAGCTTGTCTCCTCCCATTTGGGGATGGCTGTCGATACCTCGACGGGACTATAATGGCGGCTTCCTTCGAACTCACCCGATTCTCTTCACGTGCTGCTACCAAGCTTGGAACTACAGATTTCGACGGTACCGGAGAAGCTGACCTCTTTCCCTTCCCAGCAGGGGAAGGATCTCGCTCAACCACGGCCACATTCTTCTTTCCAGCCGACATAGGTCTTTTACCTCCCGCAGGAGAAGAAAACCTCTGAGGCTTATGAGAAACTTTGGTTTCTTCTGTACCTCCCAGGTTTTCAATCGGTACGTTATCTCGAGGAGCGAGAGCTTGCCTCCCTCTACCGTTTCCAGTCTTTGAATTGCTCTTCGATTCCTCTGATTTATGGTTCGATGACAATGCGGCAATCGGATCAGCCGATAGATCCGAATCCGTTACAGGCTGGATCACAAACTCACGCTTGGAAGCCGAAATCCTCGCAATTAGAAGCTCCGGGGTTCCGACGGAAGCTTGCCGGCCCGAAATTGGACGAATTCCGCAAACGCGAGGAACCGGTGTATCGAATTCGAAGCGATCGACGTAGACGAATTGGCCGAGATGGAGTCGATTGGAGAGGATGAGATCTGTTTCTCGGTCGGAAAGCGAGACGTAAGTGGAATTAAGGGAATCGGAGAGCTGGATGTAGAATCCGCGATTGGGCCATAGTTCGGAGCCGGCGAGGGCCGGGACGATGCCGATGACTTGGAGGAGAGCTGAGCGGTGGTCTCCGGTGACTCTGGTGTTGGAATTCATGGCCTGAAGGAGCTTCAAGAGGATTCCGGGAGTGAGAGAAGCCATGGCGGAATTGTGGAAGGTGTGAAGAGTGAAGAGAAATGTGGGAGAGAGCAAGGTATAGAAGTGAGGTGAGGCCGAAGGACTGAGGAAAGAGAGGAATTTGGCCGTTACAAGTTTACGAGAATTCAAATTTCAAATTCAAATGTCAGCTATTATCCCATCCGCATCGTGAATTTTTGAATTCGGTCGCTGTTGCTCTGTTACTGTTACCGTTAACTTTCTTATTTTTAGGCCGGCGACTCGCACGAGGGAGGCACGTAGTCAACGGCGGTTAATGAAGTTTTGACTTGGAGTTGGATCTCTGTCTTCCATTTTTTAGGCCCAAGGAGATATTGTGCTGGGCCTAAAAGATGGCTGGATTGTGGGAAATTGCATCAAATGCCGAATTTTGATTTTTTATTTTTTCCGAAAAGGATCAAATTCTCCTCTAGTGAGTTTGGAATGGTGCTGGTAAGTAAAACAATATTTTTGGTTTATGCACCACGTAATTAAATTCTACTAACTTTGCCGGTACATATAGTTTCAATTTTCACCACTATTGTGTTTTCAAACAAAACTAGTGAGAGAGATATAGAGTTTATTTATTACTTTAAAAGTACTCTTGTTAAACTCAAAAATTATATGTATATAATTTTTCCTCTTTTACTAAGACAATTCCAAACTAACTACAAGCATAATTCAAATAATTAAACATGAGTAGATCAGATTCTATCCTTCATTTTCATTTGCCATTACCTTAGTTTAATATTCTACATGAAAAGTTCAACTTCAAAGAATATTAGGGATACATTGTAAAATCTTCAGTCAGAAAGATTTCTTTTTTTTAGCCTCAATTTTTTGGTTGCGAAGTATGTAATTGTTCCTTTCACCTCACATCCGTAATAACATATAATTTTTCTTTAATGATACAAGTGTTTCTTAAAGTAAAAAGAAAAACAAAAAACTTGTAATATAATTAAATTAAATAAACGAATATTATTTAGTTGCTCTTTATAAAATAGAAAATGGGATTTGAAGGGGTTGAAGGAACCTATATGCCACTGATTCGGATCATTTCATGTCCCATTCGACATTTGTTGACTATTTCACTACCTAGCTGTCAAACCAGTTTCTTGCCTCAGTTGCTGAATGCTGATAGAATGAAGAAGAATGAGAGAGAGGGAAAAAAAAACCATTGTTAGCTCATATGAGTTTGGGGCATGGTTTCTAAATAGAACAAAATTATGTAAAAGCACCTTCTTCCAAAATTATCATAAAACTTATGAAGTTGTTGCTGATTCTCTTTTATCCAAATCGGTAACCATCAAAATTACTAGTTGACCAGTTTATATTAACAAAAACTTCCGCAAGCATGCCAAGAGTGGACTGATGTAAATTTTTTTTAGACATTGTCATTATCATTATGGTATATCCTTTTGAATTTTAGGCCCTTTTGACTTCTTAGCAGAGGAGATTCATGATACTGCGGTTCACTTTTATTTTAAATATTTCTAGATCAAAATTCATAACAGAAATGAGAAAATGTTGTTTACTTTACCTTGACTGGAAGGGAGAGAGCCAGAAAGCAGGATATTCACCAACATGGAGAACTGCTATGCTAATTTATTGCAGCCAGTTTCGAAAGAAGCGTATTCCCTGGTTGAAAAAACACAAGTGTCTCTTAAGATACTGAAGCATAGCAGAAAGTTGAAATGAGTAAAAGCGAAAAAAAAAAAAGGGTCCGGCGCACCTTAAGTGCAAACAGTACATCGGCTTCGTCAACTTTCAACAGCACTCGCCTCAATTTATTTTCTCGAGACTGACCAAGTTTGAGAAGCCCCTGTAGAGTTCAACATCAAAATGTTGGAGAATTGTACCGTTAGAGATGAGGAGTTTCGAGAACAAACTGTTGCGAGGACTACCTGGTCGTTTAGCACTGTGAACATATTTGAAAGTTCTGAGGTTCCCATTGGTGGGATTGAGGCTGATCTACAATTATCTACATACGATTTGTTTAGCTGCATATAATGCAAGACACTAATTCAAGTTATTATAAAACGTTCCAAAATAAAGACATGTTATGTCCTATTAATTCATCTCAGAATTGAGAAAACTAACCTCCCCTATGGTTGTATCCTTCTTCCCTCCATGAACGAGTTTCACAACAGAGCATAAAATAATCTGATACAATATTATAAGTTTAGAAGGAAAACAGTTACAAAACAACGTTGGAATAATCACATTTATTGAAGATGCACATGAAATAAATTGATTTTTTTTAAGTTCAAAATAAATTGAGTTGAATATAACTACCTTCACTTTCACGTTTCACCTAATATTTGCTACATTATCCGTTACGATGGAAAACATGTAATTTTTGCCAATGCCAGAACATCGGAATCGTGTATATTGAAGAGGGGACATTCTGGAATATACCTGTTGATGCTGAGGAAGAGACTGTATTGTTTCCACTACTGGTGATTTAAAAGTTTTCGATAAGGCAACAGCCATATGATCCAACGTCACCTATAATACAACCAAGTTCAAACCTCCAAGTCATGATAATAAAAGTAAATATATGAAGTGCAGAGATGTACAGGCAAAAAGGGTAAAACCCGAAAGAGAATTCTCATTAATAAAGAGGTGTAGAAATCTTGAGAAATATTTTCACCAGTTCAAAGAAACAGAAACACAAAACTGTTTTGGATATTTCACACTTTGGATATATTTCTCCCCTGGTAAGAACTATCAGGGCGCACACACTATAACTCAAGCCTCAAGGACTATGGTTTATCAAAAAAAAAAAATAATAATAATAATAATAAATACACACACACAAACACACATATATAAGAGAACAAATAAATTTAAAATATTGAGAATGCTATCATTCCATTCTAAGTACAAACTATATAAAAATAATTTCTTGGGATTATACATCATCACCTTTTCTTTTTGTAAGAAAAAGCTTCCAAGAGTTTAAAAAATATGGAATTTAATGAAAGATTTATCATGGCAAAGACGATCACTTACAACCCCAAATTCTTGTCTTTTTACAAGCTCAGGTGCTGAAGTGTCACACGCCTCATTATGGTGCAGCTCCTTAGAGGATGCTTTGAGTTCCACCTCTAACAATTCAATGGCATTCCTGTACAAAGAAGCTGATCTTAAATACATATTGGTGCAACAAAAGGTATGTTAAAGTGAAAATTTCAGACAGATTGGAAACACGATAGCAAAGGATATTTTTCAAGAAACTGAGCTGAGAAACTAAATATTCCCATTATGCAATGATATTATATCACCTATGATGCTGACACTAAAGTTCTAATCTTGAAGTTCGTAGGCTATGATATAAGATATAACTAAGTTTTATGGAAAAAAAGTCGCATAATGAAGTTAAAAACACTGACCTGCAAACACAAAGGGCTTTTCTCATATCTCCAGACACAGCTGCAACTTTCTGCAAGTTCAAAGATAAAACTTGCATTCAGTCCCCATCTAATATCAACTTTGTTTTTAGTTTTGTTTATAAAAACAAAACTTTTTGATAAGAGTTTATAAAAACAAAACTAATTTACTAACCATTTCTTTGTTAGGTTTTCTATTTTTTGTCTTTGAGGAAAAAAAGGAAAAGAAAAAGAAACGACTATTATTTAAAAAGAAAATGGTTAAAACGTAGATTACAAATTGACAAAGAATATAAGTTGACAAGCATGAATTTTTGGAAACAACATGAACACGCACTTCATTATGCAATAAAGATTTAGAAACATCTAAACACCATAAGTGAGAACTAAAATTTGAATACTTTAAAAAAAAAAACTAAAGTTTGAAGTAATTATAATGTTTCTAGATGTGAGCATGTGAGGTTTTAAAAATATACAAATGAGAAGCGAAGCTCACAAAAAAATTTTGTTTCCTAAGAGATAGATTTAGAAAAGAAGATTTCATTGTACATACTCTAGCACAGAACTCCAAAGCTTGTGGCTGAAAGACAACGTAAGGAAGCACCTGTACAAAATATCATTCAGCAAAGAGGCAAAAAAGTGTAAAGAATCATTAATTGAACTCCTAAAACGATAGAAGATTTCTAAAATATTAAAACTAGGAGATAGCTATAACTTACAATTAACCTTTGTTGAAGAATCTTGAGGATCTGATCCTTGGAGTAAGCCCTGTAAGTTACAACATGAGGTTTGCCTAGGAAGACGCAATTTGCAGAAGCAAAATCAGTATCATGTGAAATCCAAGTAACTGTTGTACTTTGTTAAACATAGATCAATATAGATGGACATGACATGTTAAGTTAATAAATGAAAATTGAGTATGAACCGGGCAAGCAAGAACAACATGAAATGATATAAGAATTAAAAGATAACGTCTTAGTGAGAAGTAAAAACATTATTGGTACGAATAGAACAACTTTGTTATCATAGAAATGCTTGGCTGAACTGCGTCTATTAGTGACTCACAATTCAATGACTGAAGTTTCGGAAGAAAGCGATCCGCTAAGTCAATGGCATTTGCAATTCCTGCAAAATACGTTGAAGACCAACCTAATTTGTAAATTTACATTTCACGAAAAAGGAAAAATGGGAGATTATAAATATTGCTGTCATAGGCATACCTATCAAAATACATCTTGAAAATGGGAAAGTTGTGAGCATGAACAAATCGTGAAGCACTGCTCTATCTTTTGTAATTAAATAATCCAATTCATCAGCCATTATCAACCTGATATAAGAAAAATGACGTTAGTAGATGTTGAGATGAAATTTAAATTGCAGCAAGTACGTTTTTACATCATCTTCACGCTAGATGACTCTGCCTTTTGAGAGTATAAGCGTTGGAGATGTTGCAAGGGTGTTGAAGAGGCATTCCTTTTCTTTTGTGATTGGGCTTCACCCACCATCTGATAAAAACAAATATTAGATAAGAGTATAGAAAACTTAAGTGAAAAATTCTTTAAGCTTATTGTATTCGTACCTTCATGAAAATGTCGGAAGTATTTGTTAACGAGGTGCAGTTTATGGACAAAATGTCTGGTAGCTGAAGACCTGACTGGTAGCACAAAGAATGTTTGAATGAGTGATGAATTGAATCTTAAACATCCAAATTTTTTAGCTTGGACTTGAACTGTAGATTGCATGTAACTCGTAAAAATGAGATTGTTTAACAGGTAAGAGTTAAAAGCCTACCTCTCTTACCCAAGCAGCCAACTGCTCTTTCACTTTTTCCATGGACAAAGATTTGCCTGTTCCTGGACACCCACAAACATACAAACTACCGGCTTTTTCTTGCTCCACACAAGTCTTGCAGAAATTTAAGATTCTACTTTGCTCGTCCTCACGGCACATGATTATAGTCGGGGCCGTCGATACGTGCAACACTTCCTTTGCCGCTTTTATATGTTCAATATCTAATAAATAGATAAATAATAAATCAAAACCTATTTGAATGGCCAGAGAAAAGTAATCACATAATAAAACTCCATGCTACCATCACAAGCTAAATACTAACCTTTAGGATTCCAATCTGGTTTGGCAGTATGGCTCTTGAACAAGAATTTTGCCGGTGAACTATGTAATTTAGAAAAGCCATCATCAAACGTTTCCTCATCGATCTGCATGTGTTTAGAAACCTGTTTATCCTACTTGCAAGGGATATAAAATGAGTGCATCACTCGATCAGATACGATGAAAAGAAATAATGCAAGCATATGCAAGAGATCTACAATTAATTTGTGAGATCTAACTGAATGACTAAGAGACTTTAAAATCTTCCAATTAATTTCACTCATCATCAAATCCGCTAAAAAATAGCCGGTAACCTAAAGGCAGTGAAGAGATACATATATTCAAATGAAAAATGGCCGTTCTGAATCAATAGTGTCGAACTTACATGTGGAAAACTTTTTGGACTCAAATTGAGACACCGAGGATGAATACTACTGTGACATGATACTTAATGGTTAACCAGCTTTAATTTTCTACTAATTAAATATGAATTAGCGACTAACTAATTTTTGTTGTCAGTATGCTACTAAGTTTTAATCGCATTGATCTATCATTAATTTTTTTCTAGATATCAGTGGTTTAGCCGATTGCTTAAAGACAGCAAAAAAAATACGCATACACTCAAAGGAATAAATGTCTGTTCTGAATCAATAGTATGGAACTTACATTCGGACTTTCTGGACTCGAATTGAGGCGCCGGCGAGACGATTTCCGATTCATCGGCTCAGAGACAGGGATTTGGTGCCTCTGCGCATCACTCGATCTCAGTTTGCGTTTCGGAGTAGTGGACTCCATTAAAGATACGTCAACCACTGGTTTCCTTCCTGATCTCGTAGCCATAACGTCGTCCAAATTCGTCCCACTCTCGATCTTACAGCGATTGCCTCTCGTAGCGGCTGGCGTTCTTTTGATCTTTAGCAGCAAGGGTGTTGCGTTTCATCGGTTAAACCGAAATCGAACCGATGATTTCGGTTTGATATTCAGGACCGAACCAACGTTCTGTGAAAAATAACTCAACTGGAAATTTTCAATTCTGTAAAGCACAAAATCGAGGTTTCCAAATTAATTTTTATAATAACCGAATCCAACCGGTCGGTTTGGCCCGATTCGTATCGATTTGTTGGTACTGTACTTTTGGCGGGAAGATTAGAGATGTGCAGTGATTTTCCCGCTAGTGCGTAGTTTTGAACTGCTTTATGGCAACGAAGGGTAGCGGATTCAGTTAATCGTATTTGGATCGGAGTCCAAAGATCCAGCCCATAACGATATCCACTCTCTGGGCCCATTAAACTGCATCTCTGTTAGGTTCGGTTTAAATCAATTTTTCGAATATGAAAAATTATTTAAAGTCTTTTATCATCGAAAATATTTACAAATAATATAATCAAGAATCAACTTGAGATATGGCAAAAAATAATAATAATAAATAGCAACCGTGTTTTTGTTTTTTAAATATAGCACTTAAAAAAAACGAAGACCAACATATTAAATTACAACATTGCACTGCAGGCCCAAATGCATACACATAATATGAGTGTCTTATA